TGAAAAATCCTATGCGAATCGATGCATCGAATCAAAGAAAAACATCGATGTATTTTTGCTACTGGCATCCCTACTTGCACTTTATTATACTAAAATCGAATGGGCAACAAAACTGCATACTCAAATAATTTCTAAAAAAATTTAATTAAAAAGTTCGAAATTTTTACGAACGTCTGTTGATTTTTTCAAATTTTCCAAAAAGATTGAAACTTGGATTTATATGGGTTTTGTTAAAAAATATACTGTATTTTTATAAACAAATAATTAAAATTAAAAAATATTAAGATAAGCTTGAGCTTGAGGAAAAGCAACGATTTTGAAAAAATGGTAGAAGTGATAGCTATTTCGGAAATCACCACATTTCCGAATCAGACTTTTTTCAATGGGACTCGATCAAACGACCCCAGCTGACTCAGCCAGGTGCGTACGCACCGTGCTAAGTTCGCTTTGTAATTTCTTGTTGCTTTTTTTCCACATTTTCATTTGTTAAGCCAACTACAATCAAGCGCAGCTACTGCAGTGCTATTTAAACTTGATAATGCTGGTTTTGTTAATAATTTTTAGAATGTTCACCTTTTAAGTCTGCTCTTCCTTACAATATTTATTGAGATTGAGGCTGTTTCTAATGAAAAACTATTGTGAAAAAGCAGCAATAATTTTGAAAAAATGTTAGAAGTGATAGATATTTCAGAAATCACATTTCCTCATCAGTAGGCATGGGCAGAAACTTAGCAGGTGCTAAAAGAGCGTAAGTATCGCGTGTACGTATAGAAATGAGAGCGTAATACTAGGTTTACATATAAGTAGTTTATCCTCATGTTCCAGCTTAACTCCCTAATCTGTAATTATAAAAAGGGATTAGCCATACAAAATTCGTCCCTTGCTAATCTGTAATTATAAAATAATCTCAGATTTAACCGATAACTTTTCGGTGTCCAACCTGCTTTTATCGATTATTTTTGCGAAGAAGAGGAGAAATGCCAAGTCTAAAAGTAAACAAAAATGGACGCTAGCAAGAAAAAGAGGTTTGTAAAGGTATTTTGAATAAAATATTAAGTTAAAACATTGATGCATCTCAATGCAACACTGTTCCTAAGAACTGAATGACGCATCTAATGCAACACTGTTTCATAAGAACCTTCGCAAGTTGACGTTTGCAAACTACACACCACTTCGCTTGTATCACGAAATCCGCTATCACGTGTTCTTACTTAAAATTACTGAATATTGTTAACAAATTAGATTAATAAATATTTGAAGTTACAACAAATAACTGGCGACGAGGTAAAGTCAGTGAGTTCACGGAATCGTAACAAACTACCCGAGGCGTTCGATTTAAGCGTAAAAACCCAGCAAAAAACACGATTACCACAGAAACGAAAGTGGAAACGAGCTAGGCGATGGGAATCGCTTACCCTTTCGCTTCAAGAAGGCCTTATTTTAACATGGGCATGTCATTGGCGGTAAGCCCTTACCCGCAGCATTACCTTAAAACGAAGGGAGAACGCATGGATAAACAGAATCCAGAGAAGCTAGCAAAGAATGCCTTACAGAGAAACTAATGTAGAATGCCTAAATAAGTGCATACTTAGTTATATTAAATTGAAATCAGAAAATGTCTTAAAAGATTAAAATTAATTAAAATTTTTATAAATCAGTTCAGTTGTATTTTCTTAAAAACCGGTATGTACATACATAGCTTAAAATCGTACTTCCTCACTCTTGTAGTTCACTTCATTGACTGACTTCAACTTCGGTGCAAATTGAACAAAGCAAAACATGATTTTTATGCGAGACAAATTTCCACAGAAAGTAACGGTAGAAAAAGAATTTTTGGATATTCATTCTATTTTTCAGCTCACTACGATGCAGCATTCTACTTTGCATTCTCCGAAATGAAGCAAAGAATGGAAATAAAAAAAAATATTGTAGGACATTCTACTTTGCATTCCCTGAAATCAAGCAAAGAAGCGAAACAAATATAATATTGTAGGACATTCTACTTTGCATTCCCGGAAATGAAGCAAAGAAGCGAGTTAAAAAATAAATATTATAGGACATTCTACTTTGCATTCCCCGAAATGAAACAAAGAAGCGAAATAAATAAAATATTGTAGGACATTCTACTTTGCATTACCGGCAATGCCTAAAAGAAGCGAAAAAATTCTAAGGCATTACAACGCTATGCCTTCTAGAACACGTTACTACTAAAAGTGATTACCGATTTTTTGCTGGGAAGGCAAAAAGGTAAAAAGCTGCATTACCATGGAAGAAACTATCGGGAGACTGCTAAAGCAACAGCAGGACATTTTAGTGGACGTTTTGAGTACAAATAGAGCATGGCTGATTGCACAATTGGAAGAGCAAAAACAAATCTTGCTAAAATGCAAGAAAATCCTCGTGAGTCAACCATAACCTCAACAAATAACCTTAAACGTGGTTGTAACTTCAAGTATTTATTAATCTAATTTGTTAACAATATTCAGTAATTTTAAGTAAGAACACGTGATAGCGGAAATCGTAATATAAGCGAAGTGGTGTGTAGTTTGCAAACGTCAACTTGCGAAGGTTCTTATGAAACAGTGTTGTATTAGATGCGTCATTCAGTTCCTAGGAACAATATTGCATTGAGATGCATCAGTCCCTCCGCACCTAGTCAATAACCCTCCCGTTAGTCCTCATAGGCGAGCTTTCAACAGGTTACGATGGCGAAGGAGTAAGCCTTGGTCCGTACTCACGCGATACATCATACTGCCAACTTTGCTTTGAATTACACCAGGAATCCACGGTGGACCCCGTGCATAGTTCCTGGCGTAAACGTTTGTCCTAAGAGCGTACGATGATTCCGACCCGGCACTGGACCCTTGAGTGGGAGTGGGTACAAGCATATTAAGCCGCGTTTTTGGCTGGCGGCCATGTAGCAATTCCGCCGGCGACTTATTGCTACTGCCAATGGGACAAGTTCTGTAAGTGCTAAGAATGGTTAGTAGTGAATCTAAATGATTTTTACTTGCTTAAAGGTGCGCACAAAGCGTTCAGCTTCGCCGTTCGATGCCGGATGAAAATGCGCAGTGGTGAGATGCGTAATCCCATTGCTGTTACAAAAAACCTGGAACTCGGCCGCTGAGAATTGCCTCCGTTATCCGTGACTATGGTATGAGGCAGACTTTCGACATAAAATATCACTTTTAAGGCATCGATCATTGCTTGAGCCATTATACTGGCCATATTTGTTACAAATAGATATTTCGAAAATGCGTCGATGCATATAAGCAAAGTAGCGTTATAAAACGGGCCTGCAAAGTCCAAGGGTATGCGCTGCCATGGACGTTCAGCTACAGGCCAATTTGTATATGCTCGAGCTGGTGAAGATGTACTTTGCTGTTGGCATATTTCGCATTGTGAAACTTTCTTTTCTATGTGTGTATCCATAGAGGGCCACCAGCAGTGTTGACGCGCCATTTGCTTCATACGCGTCATACCCCAGTGTCCTTCATGCAGCGATTCAAGGACGGTCGCTTGTGCGGTCAACGGTAGTGTACTCTGTTCTCAATATAATGACCCCCATTTCCAAACTAAGCGCGTGCCGGTGAACAAAATCCGGTTGTAGCTCGCGGTGTTGCGATGGAAGCTTCTCAGGCCACCCCTTTTCGATGAAACGTCACACTTGTTTAAGAGTGCGATCCTTTGCAGTTAGGTTTGCCAGATGTTGCACATTAAGTGGTGATGCAGTAAGGTCAGATTCGAACTGCATGCATGCTTCACTTTGGTCGAACTCCGCATCCGGTCCTACTGAAAGCTGTGATAAAGCGTCTGCGTTATAATGCTTATCCGCTGGCCTATATCGTATAGTATACCGATAGGACATGAGCAGTAATGCCCAGCGCTGAAGGCGTTGTATCATCACAGACGGTAGTTGCTTATCAGGGCTGAATACCGACACCAGCGGTTTGTGGTCTGTGAGCAATGTAAACTGGCGACCAAACAGAAATTGGTGAAACTTCTAGATATGAAATACAATAGAAAGCGCTTCCTTTTCTATCTGAGTGTAACGTATTTGGTGGTGGTCAAGCGTCTTAGATGCGAACGCGATGGGCTTTTCGGACCCATCCGGTATTCTGTGCGATATAACAGCTCCTATTCCATGCGAAGATGCGTCTGTTGCCAAAATAAGGGGTAACTGGTCATCGAAATGAATTAGCAAAGGTGCTGTACTCAATTGGTACTTAAGAGCTAGAAACGCTTTTTCTTGCTTCTCTCCCCACCGAAATTTTTCGCCTTGCCTATGTAGCTGGTTAAGCGGAGCAGCCTTATCTGCAAAATTCGATATAAATTTATTGTAATAATTAATTTTACCCAGGAATGCTTGAAGTTCCTTCAAATTTTTAGGCCGCGGCATTTCACATATAGCTGAAACCTTAGCTGGAGACGGCGTGCAACCCGCTGCATCCAACACAAATCCGACATATTCAACTCGACGCTGCATAAAAGTCCACTTGGATTTGCGGAATTTTAACCCAGATGCTTGCAGTCGCTCGAATACTGATTGCAAATTTTCCAATAACTCTTGTACTGACTTACCAGCTACTAATATATCGTCAAGATAATTAATACACATCGGAATACCTTCAATGACTTGTTCCAATAGCTTCTGAAAAAGGGCCGGAGCGCTGGCCACTCCCATCGGAAGGCGTTGATACTGGAACAAGTCCAATAGGGTATTAACAACCATTAGCTGCTTCGCTTCTTCGGTCAGACCCACTTGCAAGTATGCGTCTGAAAGGTCAATTTTGGCGAAGATTGTGCCTCCTCTTAGCTTGCGGCACAGTTCTTCAATGCGGGGTATTGGGTAGTGATCCACCTCGAGCTGTGCGTTCACAGCTTTAAAGTCATCGCATATCCGCAAACGCCGTCTTTTTTTTGAACCACTACGATGGGTGCTGCCCATTTGCTGAACGTAATTGGTTTGCATATCCCGCAGTCCGTTAGACGCTGTGCCTCTAATTAATTAAGCCAATCACGGAGCAAGTGGCGCCGGTATCCATCTGAAACTTGACCGGTACTTCATTCACCCCTATTTCAATCACATATTTGTTTCCTACTTTGTTTGGCACGGTGCTCGTAATTGAAGCAACAAAGTTGATCGTTGACACACTTCGCTGAGCGTTATTGTTGTTAGTCTGCGGTTGCTTCTCCTTTTTATAATTTTTATTGTCGGTAATTGCACTTTGTGCTTTACAAACTGGTACGATATGGCCGAAACGATTGCACTTTCGGCATTGTGCATTTCGAAATTTGCATTGGCTTCTGGAGTGGTGCTTCCCGCACCCAGAACAGGATTGAAAACAGTTACTCTTGCTTGCGCTTGGCTTAAGCTTTTTTTCAGCTTGGTGCTGTTTCAGCTGAAATACTTCGCTGCGTTCTGCTGTGCTAGATGACATCCGCTTTTTCATGGCCTGTGTTGTTTCATAGCTTTCGGCTATAGCTATAACATCTGCGAGTGCCGGATTAGGCTTTTGTAGTGCTGCAGTGCGTACCGGTTCATGTGGCGAATTCAAAACTAAAATGTCTCGAAGCAGGTCATCTATAAATGACGTTTTGCAAGTATTGTTACTACACACGAACCTGCAATTCCATGCTATGCCCCGCACTTCTGCAACCCATTCTGAATACTTTTGTTCTGGTTTCATTTTCGATGACAGAAATTCGTATCTTGAGGCCAGTACGTGAACATTTTCCTTGTAGTGCGTTGACAACTTTTCTGTAATGCTTTCGTATGTCTGCGTTTGTATGTCTTCTGTGCCGAGAAGTTTGGATAGCAGCTCAAAACAGTCGGCTCCTACCCACTAGAGGAAAAATGCTCGTTTCTGTTCCTGCTTCATGCCTGAATACGCTTCGAAGTGCTGGGTTAATTGTGCGATGTACGAGTCAAATCTTTGCTTTGTATGCACATACGGTGGAAAGGCTGGCACGGCTAAGCCAACTACAATCAAGCGCAGCTACTGCAGTGCTATTTAAACTTGATAATGTGGTTATTGGTTTTCTTAATAATTCTATTTTTAGAATGTTTACCTTTTAATACAATATTTATTGAGAGTGAGGCTGCTTCTAATGAAAAACTATTGTGAAAAAGCAGCAATAATTTTGAAAAACTGGTAGAAGTGATAGATATCTCGGAGATCACCACATTTCCCCATCAGTAGGCATGGGCAGAAACTTAGCAGGTGCTAAAAGAGCGTAAGTATCGCGTGTACGAATAGAAACGAGAGCGTAACACTAGGTTCACATATAAGTAGTTTATCCTCATGTTCCAGCTTAACTCCCTAATCTGTAATTATAAAAAGGGATTAGCCATACAAAATTCGACCCTTGCTAATCTGTAATTACAAAATAATCTCAGATTTGACCGATAACTTTTCGGTGTCCAACCCGCTTTTATCGATTATTTTTGCCAAGAAGAGAAGAAATTCCAAGTGTAAAAGTAAACAAAAATGGACGCTAGCAAGGAAAAGAGGTTTGTAAAGGTATTTTTAATAAAATATTAAGTTAAAACATATTTAAATTGCTTTATATAGCAGAAAAAAAGTGATTAAGGTGGCACAGAGAAGAAACATAACCTTTCGTTGAGATGAGAGAATAACAAGCACAAAAAATTTGACGGCTAATAATTTGAGATTTGCCTGTGTGAACGGGGTGATTAAACAACGAGCTTTGATTGAGATAATATTTATATGTGAACATACTTTAACGATGAGAACGCGACAGCATGCAGAATGAGTTAGACACACTACTTCATTCTCACTTTCAGCTCACGCTTGTTTGTGGTAGTGCCCATTTCTGCTCATCAGGCTTCTTTCAGTGGGATTCGATCCATCGACCTCACCTGACTCAGACAGTTGCCTACGCACCGTGCTAAGTTCGCCTTATAAATTCCTGTTGCTTTTTTCCACTTTTTCAATTGTTAAGCCAACTACAATCAAGTGCTATTTAAAATTAATCTATTTTTAGAATGTTTAAATTTTAGGTGTGCTCGTCCTTAAGTTATTTGCTTTTCTTATTTATTGGTCAAAGAGAACATAGTATTTTTAACAATATTTTTTTTGCGCCTTAAATACCTGCATTGGTTTCTTTTTTTATTATGATTTTTTTGTACCAATGCATTGGTAGAAGTGATAGCTATTTCGGAAATCACCACATCTCCTCATCAGACCCCTTTCAGTGGGTTTCGATCCAACGACCCCAGTTGACTCAGCCAGTTGCCTACGCACCGTGCTTAGTTCGCCTTGTAAATTCTTGTTGCTTTTTCCACTTTTTCATTTGTTAAGCCAACTAACGGGTGATTTTTTTGAGGTTAGGATTTTCATGCATTAGTATTTGACAGATCACGTGGGATTTCAGACATGGTGTCAAAGAGAAAGATGCTCAGTATGCTTTGAAATTTCATCATGAATAGACTTACTAACGAGCAACGCTTGCAAATCATTGAATTTTATTACCAAAATCAGTGTTCGGTTCGAAATGTGTTTCGCGCTTTACGTCCGATTTATGGTCTACATAATCGACCAAGTGAGCAAACAATTAATGCGATTGTGACCAAGTTTCGCACTCAGTTTACTTTATTGGACATTAAACCAACCACACGAATGCGTACAGTGCGTACAGAAGAGAATATTGCGTCTGTTTCTGAGAGTGTTGCTGAAGACCGTGAAATGTCGATTCGTCGCCGTTCGCAGCAATTGGGTTTGTGTTATTCGACCACATGGAAGATTTTACGCAAAGATCTTGGTGTAAAACCGTATAAAATACAGCTCGTGCAAGAACTGAAGCCGAACGATCTGCCACAACGTCGAATTTTCAGTGAATGGGCCCTAGAAAAGTTGGCAGAAAATCCGCTTTTTTATCGACAAATTTTGTTCAGCGATGAGGCTCATTTCTGGTTGAATGGCTTCGTAAATAAGCAAAATTGCCGCATTTGGAGTGAAGAGCAACCAGAAGCCGTTCAAGAACTGCCCATGCATCCCGAAAAATGCACTGTTTGGTGTGGTTTGTACGCTGGTGGAATCATTGGACCGTATTTTTTCAAAGATGCTGTTGGACGCAACGTTACGGTGAATGGCGATCGCTATCGTTCGATGCTAACAAACTTTTTGTTGCCAAAAATGGAAGAACTGAACTTGGTTGACATGTGGTTTCAACAAGATGGCGCTACATGCCACACAGCTCGCGATTCTATGGCCATTTTGAGGGAAAACTTCGGAGAACAATTCATCTCAAGAAATGGACCGGTAAGTTGGCCACCAAGATCATGCGATTTGACGCCTTTAGACTATTTTTTGTGGGGCTACGTCAAGTCTAAAGTCTACAGAAATAAGCCAGCAACTATTCCAGCTTTGGAAGACAACATTTCCGAAGAAATTCGGGCTATTCCGGCCGAAATGCTCGAAAAAGTTGCCCAAAATTGGACTTTCCGAATGGACCACCTAAGACGCAGCCGCGGTCAACATTTAAATGAAATTATCTTCAAAAAGTAAATGTCATGGACCAATCTAACGTTTCAAATAAAGAACCGATGAGATTTTGCAAATTTTATGCGTTTTTTTTAAAAAAAAAGTTATCAAGCTCTTAAAAAATCACCCGTTACAATCAAGCGCAGCTATTCCAGTGCTATTTAAACTTGATCATGTGGTTGCTGATTTTGTTAATAATTCTATTTTCCGTGTAATCATGTACAAATTCTTGCCAACGATCCCAGGTAGTTGGAGATACGGTTTCGTCCCAACCTGTTCCTTCTAACCAAATATTCTGCATAATGATCTTGGCGACGATTATAACCGGTGCACGCCAACCCAGTGGATCGAACAGTTTGGCGATGGCTGAAAGTATTGCCCTCTTTGTAATGCTGCTACTATTTTCCATTGGTTTCGCTATAAAGTAGAAGTAATCGGACTGGGCGTTCCATCTGATGGCCAAAGCCTTTACTGCACTGGTATCTTAAACTCTGAGAAATCTTCAGTAAGTAAATGACCTTTTGGTATTCCTTGAAGTATTTTGCTAGAGTTCGAAGTCCATTTTTGTAATGGAAACGCGGCTGAATTTGGCACCTGTGATATCTCTTCTCGGGCTCTTATCGCAACTTCGCCGCTATGTCCCCCGGCGAGAACGTCGTCAACATACATATATTTTCGCAAAATGTTATGAACCGCTGAGATGAATTTTTCAAATTCTTGACGTTTGCAAGCAATTTAATTTTAAAATTTTACACACAAACTCACACACACATTCTTGTTTTCAATATCAAACAACAACAACTCTGAACAATTCCTTTTTTTACTCTCAATTTTATATGATTTTAAAATGTTGGCAAACTTCAAAAAAAAAAAAAATCATGGCCGACGAATTGAGGGAACGGTTTTACCCATCGTACAGTTCCGTAAATAAAGTAACTCTTCTTCTTACCGTTTTTTCTGGCAGGCTGTAGGTGTGTTTTTGGTTAGTGTATTGATGTTTTTGGTTCAGTGTGTTAGTGTATTTTGAATAAATTGTAATATAAATAAAAGAAATTGTAATATAAATAAAAGAAATTGTAATATAAATAAAAGAAATTGTAATAGAAATGGCATTTTCTGGCAATCAGCTGATAGTGTTTTTACTTATGAAACTGTACGATGGTTTTACCTTACTATATTTTTATCATGGCAACACCTACATAGCAACGCATGAAAACGTAAGAAATTTGTATGGGTTTGGACCATTGTGTACAAATACAAGTGAGATATCTTAGCAATAGACGTCATCCTGGGCCACAGCTGCGATCATCTGTTTTTTAAAGTTGCTTATTTTGGTCTAAAGTGCACTTTTTTGACCTGAGTTGCATTAAATAGTCTCTTAAAACTTGGTAGTATTTGTTGTTCAAATGGTAACATATATGCCCAAAAACTTGAAAAATATTAGATGATTGCTTTTTAAAAATGCTATTTATAAAATTTGGTTTTGATTGCGACATTAGAAATATTCAGATTATAAAAGTTTTTCACATATGTTTTAAGATTTTAAAGCTTTTAAAATGTACGGTAGAATGCAACAATGTGCTTGAATTTGTTTGCTTCTTCGTCAGCTTATTCGTTTGCAGACTAGAAAAATGGCGAACAGCCATCAAAATACTGATTCAAAATACACACAAATGGGTGCGCGCAGCAAAATTCAGCCCTAATGGTAAGTTCATTTCATCGTGCGGCGACAAGTTAAGAATTTGCGATACATTTTCAGGCGAATGTATGCGAACGTTCACCGGGGGAAGAGGTATGGGACGACAGCTGGCATGGCATCCAGACGGCAATCTGGTGGCTTTAGCATTAAGTTGTAACCGCGTTAAGATATTTGACAAAGCTGAAGGCGAGCTAATACAGTGCATTCGTCGCCGGAGAATGATGTTGCATTTCACCCAAGTGGAAATTTCTTGGTGACTGGCGGCGAGACGATACAATAAGATTGCTTGATTTATTAGAAGGTCGGCCAATTTATACACGGTAGTAGTGCACTTTAGCGGATCCATATAAAATAAATTTTTTCCTGTATTCAACAGTTGCCCGTTTGGAAATCTAATTTGCATACATTTGATGCCAATAGCGCGCAACAAACAAGCCAGTTCTCAAAGAGCCCAAATTGATTTTAGTCATGCAACAGATCCACA